AAAAATTAAAAAAGAATTTCAGTTACAAAGTGTTAACTTGTATGTGTGTGTCCCCGCACCACGCACGCACGCACGTGAGCAGGGATGTGTGGGGACATGAGCAGATGATCACTGAGGCCAGAGGTCAATCTCCAGTGTTGTTTCCCTGGAGCAGACCCCAGGGGCCAGGCTAGGCTGGCCGGCAGGCAGCCCCAGAGTGTGCCTGTCTCCCTCTGCAGCACTGGGTTAGACCCACACACAGCACAGGCCCCGGCACTGGCCCCAGCCTACTTCAGTTTGTTTGGAGACGTGTTAACAGTAATGCTAGTGTGGCCTCAAACTTCTCACCATGTGGATGACTCTGAACTCTCTGAACCTGACTCCACCTCCTGAGTGCCGAATGCATGCACCAAAATACATCTCCCCTTGTTATATCATCTTCATATAGTAGGAACAGAAACATAAAAAAAACAGCCATAAAAATCAGGACAGACAGAACCTGAACAGTGCTATTGTTTACTGGGCTTCCCGTGAAGAAATGCAGTCCTCGGGAGGTAAGATGGCTCAGGGAGTAGGTGCGCTTGTTATGCAAGCCTGGAGATCCAAGTTCAATCCCCAGCACCCACGTAAATGAGGAAGGTGAGAGTCAAAGCCACAAAGTTATCCTTTGACCTCCACACACATGCACACCCACATACACATCATAGATACAATAATAAATGTTGCTTTTCCAAAAAAGGAACTGTATAGGTTGGGATATAATCCAATGACAGAAGGCTTGCCTGGCACATATAAGGCCCTGGCTTCACCCCCAGTAGATTCACTGTGTCGTTTGAGACCAGAAAAGGGCTCTGCAGGAGGAGACGGTCCTCTATTAGCCTGTCCCTACTGACCCAGTGGTGTCCAGCCACTTCTGTAGACGTGGAGTTCACACCCTGTGAGATCGTGTGATGACACTCTCCAAAGCACAGGGCTGCTGTCACTGTGCTTCATGTGAACAGAACATACAGAGCAGTGGGCTGACGCATTTATACTGAAAACCTAACTACCCACGAGCAACAACACTTTCTCTGCATTCATCTCCCACCTCTCTGCTTCTGTCCCAGATTTCTTTTCCATTCCACACCCTTCCTTATCACTACATTAGGGAGTCTTTCACGCCATCTAGTGGAAGTACAAGATAATGAGAAATTAGGGTTTATGAAATCTAGTCGGCCTTGGTGTGGGGCACACATTTATAATTCTGTGTAAGCCCAGTACTTAGAAGGCACAGGTAAACTGGGCGGTGGTGGTGGTGGTGGCGGCGGTGGCGGCGGCAGCGGCAGCGGCAGCGCACACCTTTGATCCCAGCACTCAGAAGGCAGAGCCAGGCAGATCTCTCACATTCCAGGCCAGTCTGGTCTACAAAGCGAGTTCCAGGACAGCCAGAGCTAAACAGTGAAACCCCATCTCAACCCCCTGCCCCAGAAAAGAAGGCGCAGTAAAAGGACTGCTGCATACTGGGGCCAGCCCGGGCTACAAAGCCCATTTCAAAAGAGACACAGACGCATGCACGCATGGAAAGAAAAAGGGCTGGAGAGATGGTTCGGTGGATAAGAGCACTGGCTGTTCTTCTGGAGAACCCGGGTTCAAATCCTCACAGAACTATAGGCAGTGAACTGTTGCTGGGGTGCAGCTACAGCCACTGGTAACTTGCCTGTGTCTCTGTAAACCTCCCACCACCACTACCTAAGCTTATGAATAAAACCCTTATTAAGCTCAGTGGGACAAAAAGAAGAGATATAAGAAAAGATGAGAACTGTACAGTTTGGTGAAGGAAAGAATGTGAAAAAGTTTAATCTTACAGAAAAGGTAGGTCTCAAAAGCAGCTGTAATTGTTAATGATATGAGTTCCAATAATACTCACCAATAAGAAGATTTTTTAATCTTCTATAGTCTTCTGTTACATCAAATTCATCACCAGCAAAAATCAACATGGGTTTTGTTCCCTCGGGGCACTTACTAGTCTATGAGATTAAAAAAGAAAAAAGAAAAAAAAGCACCATAACTATACAATTTCCAAAATCTAAAGAATTTATATGACAATTTTTAAGATAGCCAATATGTGTTAAAATAATCAACATTTTTACACATACTACCTCACTTATTATTGTTACATCCACAAGTGAGGATCAAGAAAACCACTGATTTGATAAATCACAAACATCACATAAATGGCAAGACATGTCTTAAACCCACAGGTCCAATTATGAGGTCACTGTTTGAACCTAAGGAAGCTGGAGTTACTGACTACACAGGGAACTGACTGTCAAAAGCCTTTTTTCAAAGCCACAGGAGAAGGATATTTAGTTTAATTATTCTACTAAACCTTCAAGGTCTGTCCCCTTTTTAGAGGAGAGCTAAAGAAATGAGCAGTATGTCCATTTACCACAATTTAACCATACACGAGCCTAAGCTCCACCAGCTCAGCTGGACCCAGTGGAGCACGCCTGCAGTCCCAGCACTTGTGGAACGCGGAAGCAGGCAGATCAGAAGCTCAAGCTCAGCCTTGGTTACTCAGCAAGTCTGCGGCCAGCCGGGGTGATTTCAAACCCTACATCAAAGCAGCACACAACACCCATTAAGGTGTACAACCTTCATTACAAACAATATTCTTTCTCTCTAAACTCTTAAACTCCAACCTTGGTTTTTATCTACCATATACATGACTCTAAGGTTAAACAATTAAATTTGGGTTTCCGGCTGGAGAGATGGCTCAGCAGTTAAGAGCACTGGCTGCTCTGCCAGAGGTCCTGAGTTCAATTCCCAGCACCCACATGGTGGCTCACAACCATCTGTAATGAGATCTGGCGCCCTCAGAGGTCCTGAGTTCAATTCCCAGCAACCACATGCTGGCTCACAACCATCTGTAATGAGATCTGGCACCCTCTCCTGGCCTGCAGGAATACATGCAGACAGGAAATTGTATACATAATAAATAAATAAATAAATAAATAAATAAATAAATAAATAAATAAATAAATAAATAAATAAATAAAATTTGGGTTTCAATCACCAAATCTAAACGGAAAACTGGGCTTGGTGTGGTGATAAATGCCTTGAATCCCAGGCCAATCTCTGAGTTCAAGACCAACCTGGTCTACATAGAAAGTTCCAGACAGCCAAAGCCCATAGTGAGCCCTGTCTAAAAAACAAACAAAGACACCACCAGCCAGGGGACACTGCCTTGATCTCACACCTCTAAGATCCACGTGAAACAGTGTATTGATGGGACAATCTGAAGTCAGACACTCCCTGCCTTCTCAGGCTCTTTTGGCCAATCCTTATTACTTCTTGTTTCATAATCCCATTCAAACACAGCAGGTTCCTGAGGAGGGGTTATGCTAGCAATTCTAAGCAATTCTAATAGCTAAGAGACAAAACAATACAGTGGCAGCCAGAGCTTTCTGGCTGTAGAACAGCACTCAACTGGAAAACTTCCGAGTGTCTGTAAATGTTGTTATCACTTAGGACAGACAGATTTACTCCCCAGACCTAACCAGAACGGTCATCGCTCTCTAAAGTTTAGCTTCTATAAGATCCACATGCACTACATGTTATAAATACATTCCTCCTTTGTTGTTGGTTTTTGGGGGTTGTTTGGTTTGTTTGTTTTTGTTTTTTTGAGACAGGGTTTCTCCCTGGAATTCACAGAGATCCACCTGATTGCCAGGACTAAAGGTGTGTGCCACCACCTCCTGACCTACATTCCTCTTTTTAAAATAAAGGTAAAACTTTTTCTGCATGAGGTTCTTTTTCTATAAAATTCTATCAGTACTTCTTTACCACAAGACACCAGGATTAGCCAAGAACATTATTAAAATGCTATTTAGTTTTATGATCAATAACTTACCTTAATATCTTTTAGAGACACAAATTTCTCAATACCTAGTTCAATCATATCCAGCACATGGTAGTCATACATACGACCTGAAAGGAAATGCATTTTTAAGCACATAGATTTCCCCAATAGCCACCTTATGTTACCTATATGCTCCAAATGATCTGTGTCTTCTCTGTCTCTCCAAACTCACACTCCCTTCTTAAACTCAGACATCTACTTAGTTGCGTGGTTAGGCTATTAGTCACGGAAAAACTCTACACTCTCATGCTGAGCCCAGCGCCTTTACTTTATGGAGCTGGGTGCAGCAGTGAGCACCTACAATTCCAGCACTGGGGAGACAAGAGGACAGAGCTCAAGACCAACCTGGGCCATATAGAAAGACCCAGGCCCACCTAGGGGTAAATAGAAAGACTACTAAAAAGTAATTAAATAAATTAAAAAGAGATGCAGCTCAGCAATACCAGGAGTATTCAGCACACATCAGGCTTGGAATGAAACCTTAACAATAACATCCACCCTCAAAAAACAAGCTGTATGAGGACCACAGATGGTCAAGGGGTTGCCTATGACTGAGCATGTTAGACAGAACTCCACACATCAGGGCTGGAGAGATGGCTCAGTAAGTAACAGCACTTCCTGCTCCTCCAGAGGATCTGAGTGTGGTTCCCAGCACCCATGTCATGACTGTCCACAACTCCATGTGGTTTACAAACATACACATAAAATACGTCAATAATAAACAGAGCACCAGGAACCCACACCTCCTGCTCTCCAAAGATGTTAGCAATAGTGCTCTAAGATTACTAACCAAGAACTAGTGCACATTCTTTCTCACTTCCCGGGGCTGGAGGGCAATACTGATGTCACTGGTGGATAGGAAGTTTCTATAGTCATCCTGGGATCCCAAACCTAGCCTTCAAAAAGCTGGGCAAGGGCTCTACCAGAGGTAGACTCCAGTCCAAAATATTTTATCCAGTGTCATGAGGTTAAAGGAGCAACAGAAACTACTCACTGGTTTGAGTTCACTGGTTGACTGTAAACCCTGAAAACATCAGCTAACCGAGTCACAGAGCTGACTCTGGGTAAAACCATTTTAGAGTTGTGGCATAGGCCATTAATTCCAGCGCCCAGGGGCAGGGGATCTCTGTGAGTTCTAGGCCAGTCAGAGCTACATAATGAGACCTTGTCTCAAACAACAACAACAAAGAATATGATACTCACCTATAACTAGATTGTTCGGCCTCTTCTTATTATGGGAGCCAAACATGAACAGAGAACAGTCTGACTTCTTTGAAAAGAACTCCTATAAAGGAAGAAGGAAAACTCTTGAAGACTCTCAGCCTGCCCTGCTTATGCACTCGGCAGGCTGAGGCAGAAACACTGCCCTAAGTTCCAGCCAGCCAAAGCTACACACAAGAGCCTGTCTTCACACAAACAAACCATTTACCTTTAAGCTTGTAAAGGACGCCGGGGGTTTCCCCATCCCCCCTCTCCCACCAGAAGCTAATGAAGACGTAATGATTAGATAAGTATATACAGAAGGGGCTGGAGAAGTGGGCTCAGGTTAAGAGCACTTATTGTTCTTGTAGAGGACCAGGATTCAGTTCCCAGAACCCACATGGCAGCTCACTACTATCCTTCACCTTCTTCTGACCTCCAAGGGTACCAGACACACATGTGATGCACATACATGCAGGCAGGCAAAACACTCATACATTTAAAAAAAAAACTAACCTTAATACATACTTATATGCCAATATAGATAGATAGATAGATAGATTGACAGACAGACAGATGTACCTTATTTTAGCTTTTAAATCCAAATTTTTCTGATTTGGAATACTTAGTTAAAAGGCTCACATTTCAAGACTAAAACTACACGAAAGCTAGAGAGTTAATATAGGAAAGACCACTAAATTATGCAGGCATTCTGAGTGGCACACCAGGTGTTTCATTTACTGAATATCCCTGAACTCACTTTTTATCACTTTGTGTTGATAAATCTCACTTTTGAGACTTATCAACACACTGGCTTTGGAGGTTTGTAACTGGCTCCGGAGTTTTTAATGCCCTTTGCTACTTTTCCCAGCACACTGCAACAAGATAAGGAAGGGGCCCTAGGATCTCCATGCCCACAGTTGGATTAGAGCCGTGTCACATCTGGGGGAGTGGCTGACAGAGTTATGATATTCCAGTATAAGAACTGGTTGGGCTGGACGTGGTTACACACGCCTTTAGTCCCAGCACTCGGGAGGCAGAGTCGGGTGGACCTCTGAGTTCAAGGGCAACCTGGTCTACAGAGCGAGTTCCAGGATAGCCAGGGCTACACAGAGAAACCTGTCTCAAAAAAAAAAAAAAAAAAAAAAAAAAAAAAGTATTCCTTGGCTTCCATTACAGATTTGTGTGGGGGTATTGTGTTCCCCAAAATATTGTGTACCTTAATAAACTTATCTGGGGTCAGAGAACAGAAAAGCCACTAGTTAGGCAGTGATAGCACACACCTTTAATCCTAGCATTCCAGAGATAGAAATCCCTTTGGATCTCTGTGAGTTCAAGGCCACATTGGAAATAGCCAAGCATGGTGACACGCCTTTAATCCCAAAAAGCAAGCCTTTAATCCCAGGGAGTGGTGATAGAAAGTAGAAAGATATATAAGGCGTGAGGACCAGAAACTAGAGGCTTTGGCTGGGTAAGCATTTGGCCTGGTTAAGCTTTCAGGCTTTGGAGCAACACAGTTCAGCTGAGATTCATTCGGGATGAGGACACAGAAGCTTCCAGTCTGAGGAAACAGGACGAGCTGAGGAACTGGCAAGGTGAGATAGCTGTGGCTTGTTCTATCTCTCTGATCTACCAGCATGGACCCCAATAACTCGCCTCAGGTTTGATTTTATTAATAAGAACTTTTAAGATTCATGCTACAGATTTGAAAGGAGTAAAAACGTTAAGTTTCAATCCTAGACAGCCCGATGCCAACACTCGACATCCGCATACTTGGCTCAACTTACTGAGGTCACTATTCTAACATAAAAACTAGATTCAAAGCCAGGTGTGCAGCACACGTTGGAACCCCAGCACTGGTATGGTAGAGACATGCAACTCTAGAGTTCAGTGGCTAGTCCTTGAGGCCAAATGGCGAGCTCCAGGTTCAGTGACAGACCTGTCTCAGACATAAGGCGGAGAGCAACAGACCCCACAACCTCTGGCTTACAGCACCACATATGCACAAATTAGATTTAACATGTCCTAGTCCAAAATCAGCTAGAAAACCTTCAAAATTAATGAAAAAGATCAAAGGACAGGGCAATCCTTAAGTTCCCTGTGTCATTCCCCACCCCAGCCCCATCCCACACCACACACATCAGTTATCACTCCCTGAGGGCGAGCTCCTAATCTGGATATCATCCAGTAAGTTTCTACGCAGAACCAAGTGTGGCCAGCAGAACCAAGTGTGGCCAAGAGCCACAGCTGCCCATCCACTTCCAGTGTGAAGGAGTTAGGAAAGTCAAGAACTCAGGCTGGACAGGGGTGAGGGGCACACTCAGGAGGCAGAGGCAGGGAGATCTCTGTGAGTTCGAGACCAGCCTGGTCTACAGAGGAAGTTTTAGAACAGCCAGGGATACAAGAAGACCCTTACCTCAAAAACAGACAGACAGACAGACAGGTAGGTAGGTAGATAAACAGACAGATAGATATAGAGTGAATGAATAAATGAACGAATTCAGGCTGTGAACCTTTTCCTGTCCTAGAAATTAACTTTTCTGAGAATTAATTTATCAGAGATAGTAAGTCTTGCAAAGCCCTACCAAGGTCATGAGATGTCATTTGATGGCATTCTACATAGAAGTGCTCAAAAATATTTATGGTCAGGCTACATATTTGGCTCATCAGTCCTGGTGGATTCTAGAAGACCTGAATTCAATTCCCAGCACTCTCATTGGACGGTTTACAACTACCTATAACTTCATCTCCAGGGGATCCAATGCCCTGGCCTCTGTACTCACTGGCTCTGATGTGCACAGACCCACACACATATATACATATAATTAAAAATAGTAACAATTTAAAATATACTCGTGGTCTAAGTCAATGGGATTGCATTCTTAAGATGCGTTCTGTAAAGTCTCCTGACAGGTGTGGTGTGGCATGTCTTTAATGTCAGTACTTGTGAGGTGGAGGAAGGAGGGCATCCTCTGCAGATTAAGTTTGAGGACAGTCTGGGTTTCATGAACCACGGTCCCAAACAAACAAATAAATGATAAGTGCATATCAGGTATTCAAACATCTAACTGACTATGTTGTCTAATAAGAATATGAAGTTTAGTAAAATTTAAAATGTATTCAAGCCAAGCATGGTGGCACACCCTGTCATTCTAGCACTTAGACGATGAGAGACAGGACTTCAAGGCCAGCCTTTGCTACTAAACCAGCTAAGAAACACAAGGCACTGTTTCAAAACAACAGACAAAAATAAAAAGATTATGTTTTAACAGATCAATGTCATTGCCATCTTCACCCAATTTATATTGAGAAAGCCCTTTCTCCTTAATCTTCCTGACTTTTTTTGTTTGTTTGTTTTCAATCTCCCTAATATAGAGGAAAGATCAATTGCCTTCCCTCCGTATTTTTTTTTCTTTTTTCATCCAAAGTCATCATAGTTTCCATCAAATTCTTCTCCATTGTGAGATAATCTTTTTGTACATTGTAAAGATGTGTCCCTGCCAAAGCACCTTCTGATTGGTTTAATAAAGAGCTGAATGGCCAATAGCTAGACAGGAGAGGATAGGTGGGACTTCTGAGCAGAGATAGGAACTCTGGGAAGAATCTGGGGGATGGGGAGAACATAGATTAATATAAACGGGTTAATTTAAGTTTTAAGAGCTGGTTGGGAACAAGTGTAAGCTAAGGCCAAGCTTTCATACTTAGTAAGAAGTCTCTACGTCATTATTTGAGAGCTAGCAGTCCAAAGAAAGTCCAACTACACTTATGTTTCTAGATACTAAGTTTTTTTCATTAAAACTACCAAAAGGGTTGGAGATGTAGCAGAGTTAGCACTCCTTGCCTGGCATGGACAAAGCCCTTGGCTCTATCCCCAATCCCCAGCACTGCATAGACAGTGGTGGTCCATGCCTGTAATCCCAGGACTGGGGTGGAGACACGAGGGTCAAAGTCATCCTTGGCTACACAGAGTTCAAACCACCCTAAAATACATGGGATCCTGACTCAAAAACCAAAACCCAGGCTGGGTATAGTGGGACTGCCCCTTTAATCCCAGCACTCGGAGACAAAGGCAGGTGGAGTTTGAGGCCAGCTTGGTCCACATAGTTCCAGGACAGTTGGAGAGAGCTATATAACAGAGAGACTGTCTCAAAAACAAGAGTATCTTATGACAGTAATAACAACAGCAGCTCTATCTTTTAAAAATAGCTGTGTCTTCTAAATTCTCAGATGGGAAAGATGACTTAGTGGGTAGAGGTGCTTGGTATGAAGCCTGGTAACCTGAGTGTGATTCCCAGACCCCACAGGGTGGAAGGCTAGAAAAACACACACACACACACACACACACACACACACACACACACACACACACACTATTCATTACACTCTTTTTTTTTTTTT